AAACCAGAAGGATGTGAATATACTAAGATTATTATAATTCTAGTAATGGAAACAGGAAAGATTAAAGTCATATATCTGCCAATTAGTCAATCAGCAATATTGAGCACCTGTGCACACTGAACCTGACAGGACAAATTTTGGATTAAAAGAATAAAAATAACAAATAAGCCTATTTCCTCCATTTTTGCTACATAAAACATTATAGATCTCTCTGAAGATAAGAAAAAATAAACAAGCATACTTATAGTAATTTTGAGAAAAGCAAAATTTTCTTATCAATAACTGAACCAAGAGTAGGCTTCTCAATGATACAGAATTAGGCTGTAAGGTATGAAAAATATAAGATTTTTTTTAATAGCATACTCTTTTATACCAAGGTGAAAAATAGTATTTGCTGAAAGGCTCCAAACCTAGTCTTCTGTGCATTTTTCTAATAATATAAAACTCATTAACCTGCCAGGCACTGTTCTAAGGACTTAATATAAATCAACTAATTTAATTCTAACAGCAATTCTATAAGAGACACTATTATCACCCCCATTTTACTGATAAGGAAACTGAGGTTTAGAGAGGTCAAGTACCTGCCTAAGGTCATACTTAGACAGAGCCAGGCTCAAATCTCAAGTAGTCTGGTGCTAGGGCCCATGCTCTTAATCACTGCATGACATACTGGCTTCCGGGCTTTTTTTCAAGGCCCAAACACTCAAATTTATTCCTGGATTTTTCAGCAAAATCTCTAAATCAGCCTTTCTCCAAATACACTCTAGAAGTACTAACTTATAAGAGGATTCAATAAATTTTTTAAAATAAATATTTATTGATTTTTGATTAAGACTAAATAGAAAAATGATGGTGAATTTGTTCAACATTCTTTCCTACTGACCTTAGATTCAAGATTGCCTTAAGCCAAATGAAAAATTGGAATTTTTCTTAGTATTTTGGTGTCCGAGTCAGATGATTTTAACTCATGCAATTTTTAATTGTATGTGATTATCTTTACCACTTCCCTAATATAGTTCAAATCATCAGTATTTATTGAGCCCCAACTACTAAAAAACACTACATGGCACTGGGAAAGTCAATGGATATGTATAAGAATTCTACTTTCAAGGAATTTCTCATACCTAGCACATTTCTCCTATTATGCTAGGATATATTAATTACCTAGGGTCTACTGAATTCCCATACCCGCATCCCCGGGTGGGAAGAGGTATGTGGATGGCTATTTAGTAGTATCTCACTACTAAACTGTGATTTTAATTTGCATTTCCCTGGTGACTAAAAATACTGAGCATCTTTTCATATGCTTATTTGCCATTTGTATATCTTTTGTGGTAATGCATCCATTCAAATTTTTTTGCCCATTAATTGCCCATTATTTTATTGGGTAGTTTATCTTATTATTATGTTATAAGAGTTCTTTATATACTCTGAAGATAAGCCTTTTATCAAAAATGTATTTTACAAAAGTTTTCTAACAGTCAATGCCTTAACTATTCATTTTCTAAACGGTATCTTTTGAAAAGCAGTTTTAAACTGTGATAAGCCCAACTTATCACTGATTTCTGTTATGGGTTCATGTTTTTTGTGTCTTATTGAAGAACTCTTTGCCTAACCCAAAGCCATAATGATTTTTTTCTTCCCTCATTTTTTTATATTAAATAGTTTTATAATTTTAGCTCATATTCAGGTCTATGATCCAGTTTGAGTTAATTTTTGTATGTGGTGTAGTATAACAGTTGAGGTTCATTATTTTGCATTTAGATGTCCAATTGTTCCAGCATGATTTGTTGAGAAGACTGAGACCAATGCATTTTAATATAACAGAGCACAAGAAGTTCAGTGAGATGATTTCAGATTCTATACTACAACTAATCTTTAAGCAATTACAACTACCTGAAAAGGGTATTAAAATACCTCCCTCTTTTCAAACTATATAGCTGTGTGAGGCTAGATATTCTTCATATATTTCAACCAAAACACCACATCACAACAGATTGAATGCAGAAGCAGAAAGGAGAATCCAGCTATCTTTTATTAATCCAGACATTAAAGAGATTTGTAAAAATGTAATACATTGCCAGTCTTGATATTTTTGTTTTAAAAAAGTTATTTTACATAAAAAATATTTTATTTGCATAAATTTATAATGGGTTTATTATAGTTATTTTATATGAATAAATTAATATTAAGTTTTTTCTTAATTGTAATTTTGATTATAGTATACATCAATAGATTTAACCCACGTAAGCAAAAGCATTTTGGAGTCCTCAATAATTTTTAAGACTGCAAAGGAAACTGCTACCATCTCCCCTCAACTACTGAAATTAGCCTTATTGTAGCTAGAGTGATGTATCTAAATACATATCTGATAGGTCAAACTTGTTTTTAAATCCTTTCAACAGCTTTACCACCTTCTTAGAAGACTAAACTCCTTTCAATGGCCCACAAATCCTGCGCATCAAGCTTCCCTAATCTTTCCTAACTCCATTCTCATTCTCTTAATAAAATCGTCTTTTTTCAGGAGTCCTTAAGTGCACCAAGCTCCACATATATGTGCCTCGTCCCTGGGCCTAAAATGTTTCCCCCTCCTCCCTTTCTCGCTGAGTTCAGACCTCATCATTCTGATCTTACTTCAAACATTGATTACCTGATCTTCCTTACTCCCATCCTCAGGTTAGATCAGGTTCCTCTTTTATATATTCTTATGACTCCCTGCACATTTCCTTCATAGAATTTATCAGTTTGGGAGATTATACTTTTGATATTATGTGACTTAAGAGCTCTTGCATCTCACAGTAAAAGATAAATATAATAATCATATATATATAACTATTAAATGAAATTTTGCCTATGTGTCGTGCATTTTTCCAAAATCAGTAATTCTCATCAGATCTTCAATGGTGTCCATAAACCTTGTAGTGAAAAATTAACCATACCCAAAGAGAGCTCCTTTGCTCTTGGCTACTGGGAGCTGGTATCTAGCCTCCCCGGAACTTCTTACCTAACAGGTGTGTCTTTGTTCGCCTGGGGACTAGACAAATGTGATCAGTGAAGGAGGCTTTGAGTCATACTTGATCAGTTCCAATCCTGAGAGGAAATGGAGACTAAAAGCATTAATATGACCTACAAGAGGGGCTAGAAACTAAAGGTCAGCATGTGGGCAGTTTGTAACTGAGCTTCAATAAAAGTTCTGGATACCAAAACCTTGGGTGAGTGTCCGTGGTTGGCAATACCTGATGTATTGTCACATATTACGGCCCAAAAGCAGTAATGCCATCCATGACTCTATGGGCAAAGGCTGACATGAAATTTTACATGTTGACCAGTTTCTGCCCATATGTCTCTTCTTTTGGCTAATTTTAACCTGATCCTCTTCTTGTAACCTGTAATAAACCGTAAGTACAATAGCTTTCAGTGAGTTCCGTGATTTTTTTCTAGTGAATTATCAAACCTGAGAGTAGTTGTAGGGGTTCCTAAACTTGCAACTGGTGAGAGCAGTCTTGTATGGTCTATTCACTCAGACTCTGCAATCTGGCTAAACTCATTGCAACCAAAAAAAGGTTAAAAGCCAATAGGCTAGACTATGAGTTCCTTAAGAGCAGTAACTTTATCAATATAATACATAGTAAAAAATGTAAGATACTTGAAATAAACGATACTCCCAGGATATCAATATCCTCTAACAATAATAGCAATAATGCTAATGATGATAAAGATGAAGATAAAAAAAACCGCAACCATTTACATGTCCTTACTATAGTACTATTCACTGTGAATATTACTATTCACAGATGAGGAACATGAAGATTAGAGTAAAATGTCTTGCTCAAGATAGTACTACTAGTGACAGATCGCATGTAAGCCCTGATTTAACTAATTTTAAGCCTACACACTTTACTATATTGTATTTCATAAGACAAGTAAAGGAAGTTTAATATTATATTTTGCAAAGGACAAACAAATATCTAGCACTATCATCACTAGAACAGTTATCATTAAAAAGTAGCAACTGTTAGCATTGTTCAGGAATGTGGAATACTTAAGTATCCCTCTTTTAACTAAGACTTAGTCATAAGCATTCTGATGCTTACTTACAGCTTGTCTTTGAAATTCTTCTAAATAAAATATAAGCTACACAGGTTAAAAACAAATTTAAAAATTAATTTGTTGTGTATTACTACCAAATGCTAAACACAAATTGCAAATACCTGAGATGGACAGATAACACTTCTGCCAAGAAAATCACCATATATGGTACCCTAATCTGTAAACAATGGGCACGAAGCTCTTTCTTACATTTTCCTCTACAAATTTTCCATCTCCTCCTCTCTAGTTTTCTCTCACATCCTGGCACTGTCCTAATGGCCTCTAAGAAAGGCTGAAAGGAACTGGAATCTGTCAGTACATGCAAGACCAGATGTCTCAAGCTGAACACTGTACTCAAAGGTCTTAAAGGCCTTTCTACCTTGAAACTAGACCTGTTAATATATAAACATAGTTCTTACAAATATATATATATGTTTGTAAGTGTGTCAGAGTGTCTCCTGGTTACTTACTACTATATGTATATATGTATATACACACTTTACATTTTTAGTAATCATAAGAAAAACATAAGGCATTTGGCAACTGGTTATAAATAATTCCATTAATTATCTTCATGTAGGTCCAGAGAAAACATCACATATTGAATGCTATTTGTTGAGATTACTTTAAAATTCATTATCATACTTCTACCAAATATGAAAACCAACAGTCGAGTTATGCTGTGTCAATTTTGGCAAACCAATCATGATAACAAAAATGTCTTAAGAGTGGATCAGTCTGGATCTACATTAAAAATTAATCATTAAAGGAGGACTGAGTGACATGAAATATAGGCAAATGAAGGAGAAAAAGTGAACATAAGTAAAGCACGGAAAAGAAAGAGGGACACACTAATGAATTAGACACAAATACTAAAGCCCACAAATAACCCACAGAGACAGAGAAAGTACCTGGAAAGCTGTGAGTGCGCCAGTCCCTGGGTTATACAGGCATCGCAGCGAAGGCATGCTGTCCGCCAGGCTGGAGCAGCCCAGCCACAGAGACCTGGGCATAGAGCACTGCAGAGAGAGGACAACTATGAGATGGGACAGTATGAGACAGGATGGTACAGATTACAGGAACTTTTAAGGCTTGACTTAATGTAATATTCCAATTGTACCTGGCCTTTATGATAGAAACATCTTTAAGAAACATACTACTTACTAGTTCTAATCCCAGAGAGAGACTCAAAAGGGGAACTAATGGCCAAAAAGCAGGGGGGAGGGAGGGATTATAGGCCAGAAAACAAAATATTTAGTAAAAATTTTTGTCCCTGTTCTTCTGAGTCTAAAGGAAATCCACTTCTTAATCCAATTAACCAATTCTTTTCCTCTATGTACCTCATACCTCAGCTCATCTCCCATAAATTTACCACAGGGAACTATTGTGCAGACTAAGCAGAAAAAGAAATAGTTCGTGTTAGCGTTTCAATATTAGGAATGGCAAATTAGAAAACAGAGGAAAGTTAACATTTTTTAGAAGTTGGGGAGAAGGAAAAGAAAAAGTATTATACCCCTATAGCTTTGACAGCAGCTAACTCTGCAGTTTGCTTACGTATGTTTTACATATCTTATTAGTCTGCTGTTCATTAACAAAAATACATAGTTACCATAGCAGCTGCCTCTTGATCTCTCCAAATGGACTG